CAGGGTCGGGGCCTATGTCGTGCGCTGCCCACGCAGGGCAAGTGTGGAGCGCATGCGCAAAGGAGTTGGCCCCACCACACCTCGTGCACACCGCGTGCCCTCCATGTCCATTGAAGGCTACAGCGCCTTGCCAGACCATGCGTAGCCCTGTTATCTTTAGAGTGTTCCCTTTGGCTTTTTTCAGCAGGCTCCTGTGGGTCGTCCAGTCTAAACCTTGCTCGGCTCCTCCACCGCCGTGCTGGCTTGCAATTCGCCCCCAACGCTCACGCAACATGGCTCCTCGCAGCTGCTCCTTCACCTTCTGTGCTGTTCTGGCGTTTCCCCACTCAAGTTTCATGGTGAGGTCTGGCCTCGACCACACTTCCATGGCGGGAGCTTCAAAACCCATGTCGCGGAGATAGCACACCATTGCGGCAATCGGGCCAGCTGCTAGTCTCCAGGGGTGAGCCGCTCGCGCGAGTCTTTTCCACGTTACCCTCGGCTTAGGCTGTCCCAATGTTCCAGAACGATGCGGATAACGGGGTCTTGGACATTGAACTCGCCCATATCAAAGACCACATCCGCTGAACCGAGCGCCAGTCTGGTGGAGTGGGACACTGCCATTCCCCTCACCACCTTCATTCTCTTTGGAGACAGCCCTTGGGCCTGATGCCCCCAGGTGCCCGCCGTAAAGGCGCTGGTTTTAAATGCGCGAATCGCATGCTTTTTCTGGCCTAGCCCTAACCGGTGAAGTTTGGCGCTCCTCTTGACCGCTTTCTGGATGCGGCTGTTTGAGGTCTTTACCCGCCTCCTTTTGCCTCCAGACGAATCCGCCCCCAAGTCTTTGACAAGACTTTGCACCTGCGGCTCTTTGACCTTTCTCCTGTTACGGAGCTCTTTTTCCGCCGCCCAATCCGAGCATACAAAGGCAGACTTCCTGATGCTGAGCTGCAGCTTGGTTGCCCCTAGCTCCGACTGAAGCATGCGGAACACAGCAAGTGCCTGCCGTGCTGCTGCCTGTGGTTCCCGATGCTCTACATCGACTGAGATGTCGTCCAGCCATACATCCATGGACTGGATCTGGTTCGCCTGGTAAACCTTCTGACAAACGGGAAACAACGCCAACTTTGACAAAGCCGGGGCAATGGGGCAGCCTGCCATTATGCCCCGGCTTGCCCATATGGGGTGAGAGACTCGACCCTCGGAAGTGATCAGTCTTTCGCCTCGATATATCTGGAGCGCTATATTGAGGACGACCTGGGGGAAACCCAGGATTTTGGCTAGGTGAATTTTACTTCAGCAAGCGCGAAGCGTTACCCAGTGGGCGTACATCATGCAAATGAATTCACCCGGAGCCCCTAAGGGGCGAGACATAGTCTCTCGGGCTGGTCGGCCAACCTGCTACGGCAAAACCTCAGCTCAAGGCTGGGAATGTGGTGCACCCACAAACTACCTACAGGCGCCTATGACACAGTTTAGAGGCTCTGACCGCTAGTAGAACAGGTCAGATGGAGGACTGTGGCTTTCACTCGTCCGAGTCGCCAGCTGTACAAAGCACTTCGCTTTTCCTACTCCTCTCATCGTACTGACCATAGCCCAAGCAAAAGACCTGCTCCCAGCAGCGAGTCTGTGTCCATCACATCAGAGGAAGGAATTCTCGCCGCAGCCCCGAGGCTGGGAATCCATGGCATAACAGCACCCGCACAGGAGCACAAGCGACTGTCATGCACTGATTCCACAGCCTTTAGGCCTGGTTGAACACAGCCAACGAACTTCCTAGCCTCACGCCCAAACAGCCCAAGGGGGTCCTCTACCTCACCTTACACAAAGCAGCAGCCCCTCAATTTGGTATCTTTAGCGCGGGGCCCACGCACTCCCCTCAACCAGGCGCAGGGAGCGACGCTTTCCCTTCAACTAACTACGTGCAGGCGCAGGGAACAACGCCCTGCTAGACTTTCTGCAAGAAAGATTTCGAAACCCCGAAGACTGCTCCCAGGGACCTGCTGACTGCTCACTGGGAAAGGGCCAAAACGAACCAAATGGACCCACACAGTAAAGGGACCTTCCCTGGCTGCTGCAAGCAAGGGAAGGGAACCCACTGCCCCTGTAAAACCCCAGACTGTTTCAAGGGAACGGCCAAATCAGGACTCTGGGCCCCACGGCACGCCGACCCGTATGATCTTTGGTGCCAGCAGGCCAACTTTTTCGAAAAGTGCTAAAAAGGGATTCAGGGCAGAAAACCTCGGCAAAAGCCTATGCCAGCAACAGCATGTTGCATTTTTTGCCTCTGCGCTACACCCTAAACCCCAAAAGAGAAAACACCGGAACAAAAGGGACAGAATCCGGACAACAAGCCAAAAAAAGCTCATCACCCTTGCAATCTCGCACAGCGAAGAAGAAGGAGTGACTATTGGCCTGCACCTCGCGAGCCTGCAATTACTGCCCAGTGAGGAGACGAGATACAGGTCCTGAGCTGCCTGGAAAGCCCCATGGTGCGCTTATCCCATACCTGGTGGTAGGGCGAAGGCAGGCAGTCCAGGCAAGGAGGGAAAGTGACTCAGCCGGCTGCATCCACCGTCAGCAAGCAGACAGCACTGCCAAGTACCTACCCTAAAACCAGCCCTAAAGCCAGGGCACCAGCGGCAGGAGCAGTCACAAGGTCTGAGAAAAGGACTACTCTCTGCCGCCGGCGCATAGGCCTGCAGGGAAGCCCCAGACAACCCTACAGAGGGCCTAAAGCCACTGCCTCATCTCAAAGTGAGGCCATTACCAAACGCATCCTAACCAAAAAGCTTAACGTCCTCCGCACATGGGCAACTGGCCGAGAACGAAACGCGCCGCAACCATCTAATTAAGGCGAAAATCCAATGGCGAGCAAGGAACCACACAGCTCCCTATGTGCCGGACACACTGTTGGCACTTGCTTGGGTGCATCTGCATGGTTGGGGGAAAAGCCAGCCTCAACACAATTTGCGAGGCCTGGGTTTAGGATGCATCACAACCCCCATGGTCCCTTCAGAGACTATTGGATGGGACCAGGGCCAACAAGCCTCGCAAGGAACCCCCAATCACTGAAGCGAAGACCATGAGAGCCCAGGCTGGGCCGACCTCACGACACCACACATGGGTAGGAGTGCTGTGCCAGATTTCGGCCGATACCTCAAATTGCCAGCTAGGCCCTGAGAAGGCCACTTCTGATGTGCAAACCACAGCCTCAAGGGCGGGGCAGTTACACCTCAGCCTAGAGCCGAGGACAGGTGGGGTCTGGATAGAAGTGGCACAACAGCGTCCAGGACGAACCTTCCTGCAAAATGCTGTGAAGCGGCAACTGTAGTATGACTAATCTGATCGGCGCGGCTAGTCACAACTCAGCCCGTTAGCCTTCAGGAGAGCTGCTTCCGCACGATAGACCAGCCAAAACTAGGTGAAAGTTGCACAGCAATTCAAGCAAATTGTCAAGTCAAGTAAAACCAAGAAAACAAGGCACCACTATGGCAAACTAAGGCTGGCGGCCACGACAGCACTGAAGGTCTGAGCACTCACGCCTCCCAGCTGGAGGGGAAGTGATGCCCACCTCCCACCTGGAGGGGATGTGGTGCCCACCTCCCAGCTGGAGGGGTTTGCTCCGTAGCTCAAGGAAGGGTGCAATGCGGAACCACAGCCACACGGCCGGGTAAAAACTCTGACACGATATGGCTCGGGCGAATAGGCCAAAACAAAGGGGGTCCAGTACCTTAACACAGTTGAGGCCCGAAACCCAGGTTCACAGCTACTCGCTCTGCTACCTGTGCACCCCACCGGGGTTGAGCCGAGACTTGAGCCAGGTGAATTTTACGTCTGCACGCTGCGTCGCGTAGCCACCCGAAGGGGCCGTTGGTCAAAGTGAAACTAAACTAAAAATTACCTCGCTTGAGGTGTTGCGTTCTCAGCTAGGCCCTCTCTCAGCTGCAACCCTCAGCACTCGCGAGGCCGACTTTGCCCTCCGCATGCCTTGCTGTTGAGGCACTTGTTGTGGCATCAGCCTCCGTAAGTTTGGCAATCCCCACTCAGCACTGGATGTTCTGTTCGAGGCATATTCCCTCAGCGCATGCGAGGCCGCAAAGTGAAACACGTGAGGTATGAAAGACTGCTACTCCAGGTTCGTCCGCAGCTCCGGCTTTCTCGCACTTACTAACCGTGCCTTGCAGCCTCCCCCAAAGTAGCGTCACCCTGGCTTTCTCGCTCTTACTCACCAGTTGACCAATAATGCATCTCACGCGGTTGCTTCATGGTAAAACTGCAGCTCGAGGTCCCGGCGTTCTCGCTCTTACTAACCCGGACCGACACTGCAGAGAAGCATGGACTGTTGTTCCCTCAGCGGAGGCGAGGCCGAACAACCATTCCGCTGCATCTGCGCAGCCAGGCCCTCAGCTCCTCACTGAGCCAGGGCTATCTCTAGACAGAGTTCCCTTGCTGGCAAGCCCTCTATCTCTATGTGACCCCCGCGGTGCCACGTATAAGCAGCTGCTCCGCGTGTCTTAGGACCACAGTTTTCATTCGGATTTTTTGTTGTAGGCCTTCCAGTGCTTGAGGCCGAATCCAAACACCACATCACACGTCACACGGCTAGGCAATTTGGCTCCAACATCTGAAGATAGTGACACATACTCTGCGTGGCGTCCGCGTGAGCTAGCCTGTCCTAGAGTCAGGTGAATTTTACGTCTGCACGCTGCGAGGCGTAGCCACCCGAAGGGGCTGAGGTTAGAGGGTGAAACATACAAACTACAAACTCTGCACAGTGAGACTACCGGTACTAGCCCTCACTTCCCTCAGACATTTGTCGAGGCCGAAATCCATGCCCTCAGACCGTGGTCGAGGCCGAAATTCCCTCAGGACTTGCCGAGGCCGAACTTCCTTCATTTGCACCCCTCAGACCAGAGTCGAGACCGAAACTTCCTCAGGCAGCACGCCGAGGCGGTATTTCTTGAGTCGGTTGGTGCTTCTCAGACCACTAGCCGTGTTTCTTGTCTGGGCTACGCTGCTCACTCATCAGCTTCGTCATGTGGCATGCCCAGCGTGATTTTCTGGATCTCTGTTGCCGGAACCGAAAGTAGGGTTCCATCCCATCCTCGTTTTGCAATCCCGGCATCCAGCAGGTGCTGGGCAAATGGCCCGACATTGCCTACGCACGCCATCCAAAGCGCGCTGGCCTTACCGTCGTACGTTCTGACCAATCCACGTATGGTTGCCAGTGGCTCCTCATCATACTGCTCCAGGAGGCGTACAAGGCCGCTTGATAGCTTGTATCTATCCTCCTGCAGCGTCGTCCACTCCGCCGTGTCAAAGAACACTGCCCGTGGTAACGATCCTGACATTGGGTCGCGCCCAACGTTGCTCACCGTGACATCCGATAGAGCAACTCCTTGCATGGTCAGCCATGACGTTATAGCCACCAGGTAAAACAGGGACTGTCTGAGGATCCCGGCTTCATGGCGATGTTCCTGCCACCATGTGCTGAACAGCTCTGCCCTGCGGATGATACTTCCATAGAAGTAGTGGTGGCAGTAACCCTCCACCGCTTCGTCGAAAAGGACTCCAATCCATCCTGCCCACAGGGTCCTGGTGACCAGGGTGGGGAATTGTTCCCCATACCCTGCTTCGTTGCCAAAGCTCTGGGGTTCCATCGCCAGTTTCATGACCCATAGCCGATCCAGAGCATATCCTCGTCGAGTGCGCCCTGCACCTATGAAGGGAAGCACCCTAGGCTGTAAGCTTTGCCCTGTCGTTGGGTTGCGGACCAATTGGACCTCCCCAAGCCAATGGAGCGCTGTCCTTGGCCTTTGCTGGTTCTGCAGTTTGTGCACCAAAAGGTGCACAGGCTTGGCTTGCCCCATGTCTTCCTTTTTCTCCTTTCCCTCAGCTTCCTGCGAGGCCATATTGTGGGCACCTGGCCCTTCCGCCAGCGTGACTGTACGAGGCTCGCTTGCCTCTTGCTCTGTATTGACACCCTCAGCTTGGTGCGAGGCCGCTCTGTCTTCTCCTCTCTCCCGTAGGCGTACCGGACCCACCGGAGATTCCGAAGCACTCTCCTCTTCCCTATCCCAAGGCTGCTCCGGGTGTCTGGCCTGTCGAAGCGGGGAACGTTCTCGGGGCGGATCCTTCTGCTTGTTCTTGCTTTTGCCCTTGCCTTTGTCCGGCCGATTCCTTAACCAGGATGGCAATCGGGACCCTTGTCTTCTCATCGTAGCATCCGTCTTCCATTGCCTCATTGCTAAAGGCCCACCTTGAGGATGAGGACGCCTTGTTCCACCCTCAGCTCTGCGAGGCCGAGGCCTCCTCTCTTACCCTCAGCGGTGTCGCAAGCACGCGGCACCGCGAGGCCGAGCTACACTCCCTCAGCAAAGCGAGGCCGTAAACACCAATCGCAATTCCCCGTTGCGAGGCCCTCACCCTCAGCTACGAGGCCGAAACCCTGTCTCCTTGCACCAAACGGCTGCGGATTTACTGCGTCCCCTCAGCTTGGCGAGGCCTAACAAACAATGACATCTTCTGCTGTGCGCTGGCTTGGGGCTTAGCTTTGGCGTGTTTCCCACCAAACTGAACGCGAGGCTGTTGAAACTGGACGTTGCTCATACTTCCACCATTGACAAGGGTTTGCGCTTGGGTAGCCAGCTTGCCCTGAGAAGTCCGCGATTTGCACTCCCCCGCCAGGCTTTTATTGCACTTCTGGCTGACCGGTGCATGTGTTCGGTCACACTTTGTGCAAACCCAACGGATTCCCAAATTCACCATATTATGGGAGGGGTGGATACCCCACTCTTCACGCACTCGCGCCTCCGGCTGGTTGACGCAGTACTGCTCCAAGACCACCTCCAAGTTCGTGAGGGTTTGTTGTACATACAACCCGCACAGTTGACATTTCAGTGTTAAATTCCGGGGGTGTTCGCTGCCCTTCTCCCATTGATGCCCGCGCTCCGGGTTTTTCAGCAACTGCCAAAGCCGCTGGCGTTTGTTGAGTTTGGCGTTGCCCTGCTCTTTTTTGCATCCCTCAGCTTTCTGCGAGGCCTCCATCTTCTCTTTGTAATGGGCATGGTCCAGGATGAAGGGGAAGTCTTCTTCTTTGCGCGTCCTCAATATGTGGGCTGCGCGTGCGCCGTACGCTAGGGAAAGTGTGCGCACCACATTGTCCAACTCTTTGACACGCCTCTTGTGCGCTGGGCTGTAAGCAGCCGCCGCTACTGCACCACATACTTTGTCTGCCATGTCATTCGCTGCACGTCGCCACAACGTGCCCGGCCCCATCTTCGCCAGGAATTCCTCTTCAGTTTTGTGGGACGGGACCCAGGTTGCCTTGATACGCTTCCTGTCATTCCACACTTTGCTCCATTCCAGGTCATCCTCCGGCGGTTGTGTTTTTTGTAGCACTTGGACTGCCGGCTTGCAATCCATAGTGACATCAATCAGATCCTCCGTGTGCTCCATTAGTCGGAAAAGTGCACGGCGCTCCATGTCCACCACCGGCTGCCACGGGTAGACCAGCTCTGTAATCCGTCCGGCTTCCACCAGGACACCTTTTGTCCAGGACATAGCCACCACTGCGAGGGCTGATGTTTGTACACGTGGGTCTATTCCTCCTGGACCTCCACTTGCGTCAGTGGCGAAGATCAAGCCTTCCGCTTCCACTTTTGCATCTGCTGCAAAGCATCCTTGGTAACGTAGACCTAAAAGGTGTTCCGGTGGCTTCGGGCGCCACACCGCCGGCTTTGGCAGGAGTGCCCTTGTCCACAGACACTCCCATGGGTATTTGTGACGCAAGTATTCCTGGAGCTTGGGTTCTTTGAACCCTTGTTCACGCCAGTAAGGACATTCTTTGAGGACATGCTCCAGAGTTGCTGGCATTTGGCACTTCTTGCACCATCCTGGCTTGGACTCCGTGATGACGCCCGCGTGCCACACTGACTTTATACCTTCCATAAGGCCTGGGCTGAGGCCTCCCAGCTTCGTCAACTTGTGATGCGGCGTCCAATCCAGCCCCTCTTGGGCTCCAGCGCCACCTGCCTGTCGCGCTATCGCAGCCCGCTTCTGTTCCTCCAGGAATCCCTCAAGCCATTTGTAGGCGAGGCTACCCATGCGTGGCTGGGTCCAATCAACGTTGAGGACACTACCTCTCTTCCATTTGCCTGGGTCACTGGCATCTACCTTCAGATCCAGTAAGTACGCCATGGTTGCAGCCATCGGCCCCGTGACCAGTGGCCAGTGGTGTTTGGCCGCACTCAACCTCTTCCAAGTGGTTTTCCAGGCCAAGTCAAAGTGGGCTTTTCCGCCACCAATCCATGCACGGAAAACTTTGGCCACCACTTTGAAATGCTGCTTGTGGATTGTGCGCTTTGGATCCTGGCATTTCTTGGCTCCCATGTCCAAGATGGTTTCCAAACTCCCAAGCTTGTATTTACCCAGGTGTTTTCCTACCACTGTTCGGAGCCATTTCATTCTTTTGGGTGAAACCCCCACAGAGGGGTGCCCCCACAAAGCAACTGATGTGATCGCTGCCTTGACCACGCGGAGTTTAGTGCTGGGCGGCGGCCCCAGCCTAGACAGTTTGCTATGTCTCGCACGGGCTTTCTTGGCCCGCGTTGCCGACGTCACCAAGCGACGCTTTCGCCCCCCTGTACTATCGACGCCCAGGTCACGCATCACGTCGTACACCTGTGGCTCATGAGGCAGCAGGAGTTCACGCAGGTGCTTGCTCGCCTGGGTACTGCTGGCCACAAACCCTGTCTTCTTGGATGAAATCGTGAAACCATTAGCATCCATCCCGTCCTTTAAGCTGCGGTAGACTCGTATGGCACTATCCGCCACGTGTTTAAAGGACTTATGCTGGATGTCAATTGAGACATCATCCAACCAACAGTCCACGTTTGCCACATCTCGTCGCCTTTGGATCTTGTCTATCACCGGGTGCAATGCCACCTTTGCTAACGATGGCGCCGCTGGGCAACCCGCTTGCACGCCATTTGTAGCTCTGATGCCTGCCGATAGCACCCCATCCGCCACCAAGTATCTGGCACCCATGTACACTTCCAGTGCCATCTTCAGGATAAGCGGTGGATATTGCAGGGCCGTTGCTGCCATGATCAATTGCTGAAATTGGATGGTATCGAAAAAGGACTCGAGGTCCACAAAGAGTGACACCACATGCACTCCATTTGTCTTTGCCACCTCATTTCGCAGTAGTCTGCCGACGGCCACGTCCAAGCAGCAACTGCCTGGGACTGCCTTGTCGTACGTGGCAGCTGTGGCATAGCCTGCCTGCCAAGTACTTACCAAATCCCATCGCAGACGGACCCAAGTCCTGTACAGGATGTGTAGCAAGGCGATTGGTCTTTCCCGGGTCAGATTCTTCGGCAGCATTGCTATAAGGGAGACTGTCATTTGCTGCGGCCATGCTGCCTTGGCCTCACATTCATGGTAGAAGGACACAACGGCTTCAACTGCTTTATCGTCCATGGCCTGCAAATGGTCAATCCTCCAGCCATCCGGCCCCGGGCTCTTTAGTGCCAGTTTTTTGATCCTTGCCTTGACCTCGACAGGGTTCAGCGGCTCCACGCTGGCCGCTTGTTTTTTGGCTGCATCCTCAAGCTCCGTCATGAGCGAGGCCGATTTTGCCAACGGCTGGCCCGTCGTCCACACTGCCGCCCAGTGGTCTCGGCGAATGTGTGGCCGTTCCAGCATGTCATATTCCATGTAGGGTCTTTGTACCACTTGTTCTTCTTTTCGCAAGGCATTGTATAATGGTCGCATGCCCTTTTCCATGGCCTTACTGAGCCATTGCTTGTACTGGTGGGCTGTCTCCTCCATATCCGCCTTTCTCGCGTAGCATTGCTGTTCGTCGATGCGCTTCAGAACAAGCCTAGCGTCCGTACCCCGGCCCAGGATACTCGCAAGCATATCCTCCTGGTTCTGCGCATCACCCTCGTAATACTCGCCGAGCCTGCGTTGGACCAGACGCGCCACCGGATGTGCATCGCCATGATGTCTGCCTTGTTTGACCCATTGTTGGACCCGGTTCCAAAAGGCCGCCCTCTTGCCCGTCCAGACAACGTTCTCCGGGTTGTTGACCACCAATTTCTTCCGCACAATCTCCGATTTAACACCCATACCATCGATTCGGCCTGTGATCGACCTCTCCACACCGGCACTCAGGTGAGCAAATGTCTCACTGAGCTCATCTTCCATCTTGGGTTCATCCAAGATGTTGATGCTCTGTGTGTTTTGTACTGGTTCATATTCCACAGTCTCCGTCACCAGTGCTCCCGCCTTCTTCATCTGGGGAACATCAGGGCTACTGCACGGTTGGGCCACCCTCCAATGCATTGCAGCATGAGGCCGAAAAGGGGTTTCCCAATCCGTTTTCACTTGAAGGATGGGCACCAAGCATTTCGCAACCAGCCCGTAATCGATTTCGTCCGATCCTTGGGCCGTTGGTTCCCCCACTCCAACAAATGCACCACCAACTTCTGTCGCCAGAGTTGTGCCCCTCATGGTATCCTGGGCTTCATTCCAATCACCCAGCACCATATATGGCACTTTGCAGCCCTTGAGAAAGGCTATCAGTCTCGCCAGTACTTGGATATTGTTTGGAGCCTGGAATCCGACCCCGCTCTCCAAATACAGACTGACGATGATCAAATCCCAGCCTTTATTTCTCATGGCACATGCCAGGAAGCCCGCCGGTCCTGTCCCATACTCAATAAGGTATCGCAGGTTCCTATGTCGGGGTGCCACCACTGCCAGGCCTCCTTGTACACCCTTAGTTTTTGTACTGCCTGGCATGCCAATGAAGGTGTATCCCATATCTTGGCAATGGCTCATGGCTTGCTGGATACCCTCTGTCTTGAGATGGGTTTCCTGCAGCACCACCAGGTCCGGTCCTAGTTCGTGTATCCATGCCGCTATGGGTTTCCTCCAGCTGGTGATGTTAGCCGAGGTGATTTTGATGCATTCGGCCTTATCATCTTGGCGATACCCACTTGCCACATCTGCCAAGATCCACTTGGCATATTGTGCGTCCTGCTCCACAAAGGAACGAAGCACTTCGTGGCATGCTCGTTGTTGTAGCGGGTTGAGTTCCTGCTCTTCCAGTTTCTCAATGGCTTCGAGTGCGGCAGCCTCACTGGAAGCATCATATCTACCCACCACTTGACACAACATTTGCCACTCCTGTGGTAGATCCTTAGGTGGTGCTCTTGGGTGCGCTTTCCGTTTCTTGGGCTTTTGCTTCTGCTTCTGCTTCCTTTGGTGACCCTCAGCACTTTGCGAGGCCGACAACCTTGCTTCCTCAGCTTTCTGCGAGGCCTTTAGGCTATCCCCTCTTACCGCAGTTGGGTCTCCCATCTGTGTTTGGCTTCCCTCTGCTTTTTGCGAGGCCGAATTCACCCATTCATCCTCATGGTCCACACCTCCCAGACCGAAGTATCTGGGACCTGTGACCGCCCAACTGCTATCCACAGCACGGGCTGACTTTGGACCCCGCGTTACTGGACTCCAGCTCTCTTGGCTGTCTTCCACTGTGCTGTTTGTATTAGGCACTTGGGTACTACACACAGCTTGACTGCCTTCCCCATGTACCTGTGGCCATACAATGTCCCCGTGACACTGCTTTCGGCCACCGTCAAAAGAGAAATCAGAGTCTCCCCATTGAGACTCCTCTACTTGTCCTGCTTTCATAGTTTGGCTGTTCGGACCAGGAGCTGCCCTGAGGTGTCGGCCCCTCCGCTCCTGTCCCAGCCTGAGGTTTCACTCGCCCTGGGCACGCGCCGGCGAGCGTTCGCGCCCCGTTGGCGTTGCCCTGACTGACACATCTCGAGACATGCGCATCGGCCCATATATGCCAAGTTCAACTGGCATGCTCGGCTCTCTTGGTCCCAAGACTCCCGTCCAGTCTGTCTCCACGACTTTGACTGCCATCCTTGTTTTGAGCGCCTCCGCTTGCTCCTCAGACAGGATGATCCCTTCCTTTTCCAGGTAGTCCGCGACGTCCTTGTATGGCGAGTCCTCTGAATCCTTCACACAGGCTTGGACTTTCTTCTGTGCTTCCGCTACCTCCAGCTCCGTGGCCTGGATGGCCTGGCTGACTTGCGCAAGCTGCTTCATGGCCTGCTCGAACTCGCTCTTTATCTTCTCCGTTTTGTCTTGAAGCCGGACCTTCTTCTCAATGAGCGTTCTCAGCTTGTTTGTCGTCCGTCTGTATGTACCAACATGGCGGCTGAGTTCCTGTTTTGGCGTCTCGTCCTCAGGCTTGTAGTCCCCCGGCGGGGGTATACCCGCCGCTCTGAGGAGCCTTTGCACTGCGGGCTCGGCTCCTTGCCACACAGTCTCAATGGCCGCATGGTACTCCTTCTGTGACATGCTTTCTGCCTGCGATCCATTTCCAGGTAATCCCGGGGGCCAAATTGGCCCCGGCTCCATCGTCCGCGGCTTCCATCCTGCTTCTTCGATGGCCTTCTTTGCCTCCATAGAAAGCGTACCCCACGCCTTCGTGAGGGCTTGATCGGCCATCCCTTCTTTGTTCTTGGCAGGTCTTGTCCACCAAGTAGCATCTTCCTTTGGCCATTGCCACTTCTTCCGCTGGCTTGACCATGCTCGCTCACGGTAAGTGGCCTTTTTCCACGCCTTTCCGCAATGCCAGCAGTACGGGTTGTAGTACAAGTCTTCATTCCAGACCCAACCCACCTCGCAGTGGGCACACACAGTACAATGCTTCCTCATGACTGCTGCAGCCTGATGCCAGTCTAAAACGATTTAGGGTTCGTTCCAGACCCTTGAACTTGAAACCACTAGCGGGCACTTTTTGCTGGGACTCGGTCTGTTCAGCAGTCCCTTGAGCCTTGTTGGCAGCAGTGAAACGACAAGGAAAAATACTTCTACAGGGGGGGCACATGGCTAACCGAAAAGTTTGTTACCCCCTCTCCGAGTTACACTTCATTGCCTCACACTTCTCATCGCAATTAAGTTCACTCGGATGCAAACTCCTCATCCCTCACTTCGGTCATCCTTTTCCTTTAAATACATCGTGGTGCACACTTCTTTTGTTGGTGTGAAACGTGAAACGAAGAAACTACGCTGCTACTGGTAGCCTCTCTCACTTCTCTTCAAACACATACACAGACGGCTTTTTCAAGACTTCGTCCATAGGTGCGATCCTGCACCTTTAGTTTATTGTCATTTCGGACATCTTTCTCTTCCAAGCCCCCTCAGGGCGTCACTTCTTCTTTTCACCTTCCTCTTTGGGCTTCTTCCCTTTTCCTTTTCCATCTCCTTTTCGGAACTTCTTCTTGTTCTCGTCTAGCAACTTTGCGTACTCGGCCCTAATCTCCTTCTCATTTTCACGAAAGTACTTCCTGAACTGGGCCTTTGTTCTCTCCGTTCCATCCTCGTTCTTCACATTCAACCACGGGGTGTATTTCCCATTCTTGTCGTAGGAATACCCTGCGTCCCAACACATCATGTAGCTGTGGCCGTGTCGGGAACACAGAATGCAAAGCTTCTTCTTTTTGTCTTCCTCCTCGTCGGTCTCTTCTTCGATGTTCAAAACGAACTTCCCTTCCAGGTTCTCCTGTCCTTTCTCGCTTTTCAACTTCTGGAAGTCACTTTCCAACTTCTTGTTGGTCTCCGACAAACCTTTGATGCTCTTCTTCAAGGTCTTATTCTCCTCTTTCATGCTCTTCGCTTTCTCTTCATCCATGGATCCAACGCTTTCACGCTTCCTCTTTCGGAGCATCTCCAATTCTCCTTTCATCGCTTCCATCTCTTTCTCGTTCTCTTCCTTTTTCTTCTTGAGCTTCTCGTTTTGCTCTTGAACTTCCTGAAGCTCAATTTCCACCTTCTGCTTTCCCAATCGCAAATCCATGAGCTCTTCCTTGATTGCGACGTCCACCTTTGGGTTCAAAAGCGGCGGCCTTTCTTCCTTCTCGTACTTTCGAAGCTCTTTTCTCTTTTCACCCAGCTCTCGCAACGCTTCGGCCAGCTTTGGCCTCAACTCATCCATCTCCTTTTCCAACTCTTCTTCATGCTCCAAAATCTCATCAGCTTGGGCTTCGATCGCTTCACAATCCTTCTTGCTCTTTTCCAACTCATCCTCCAACTTGTCCCACAGCTCGGACAAATTCTCTTTTTCTCGTACCTTGACCGCTCGGTACACCTTCGCCTCCTCGTACCTTTCCGAGGTCGAGGCAAACGCTCTTCGGGCCTCATCCAGCTTCTCCTTTTTCTCCGTCATTTTCCCCAAGAGCTCTTTCACATTTTTCTCTTCTTCGAGCACCTCTTTCTTCGCTGTCTCCTTGAGAATCTCTTGTACATCTTCCTCCTCGCTCGAGGTCTCTTCTTTTTCACCTCCATCTTTCCTCTCTTGGGACTCCTCGTCGGACTCTTCTTCCTTTTTCTCTTTCTCTTTTGGCTGCTTCTCTTCGCTTTTCTCTTGGGACTCCTCGTCGGACTCTTCTTCCAGACTCTCTTTCTCTTCTGGCTGCTTCTCTTCTTTCTTGTCGAAGATCCCTTTCCTTCTTTTCTTTGCTGCTTCCTGGAGCTCTAGCAGCTCGACCTTTCTCTTTTCGACTTCTTTCTCCTCGCTTCCAGCGCTGCTTCCAGGTTTCTCTTTAACTCCATACTTCTCATCCAACTCTTTCACCTTTTCCCCAAGCAACACCAGGTTCTCTCTTGGCCCCGAGCGGCAGAGCTTTAAAGCTTTGTTCAAAAGCTCAACTGCCTCAAGGGATCTTGCGTTCATAATCATCTCCTTGAGGGCTGCCTCGTGAGCTTTCACTGCCGCCTCTTCGGTCGCTTCTAAAGCGCTTGGCTGGGCCTCCATCTTTTCTTTTTCTCTCTTTTTCTTTTCCACCTGGCCTTCTCTTTTGCTTGAGCTGAAAACGGCTGCGGACACGCGAAACTTCTCTCTAGCGTACTCTCCAAGCACCGGACTACAAACCATGAAAAGCAACATCATGACCATGATTCCCGTGAACATGTAAAATCCAAAACTCAACTCTTTCTTTTCACTTTTCAACCCTTCACTTCCTTGAACCATTAACATCATCACGATTCTCCTCAGATACTTCTTCGGGATCTTGAACTCCGAGGCTCCTTTGGGCTCCCTGCTTTCTTCTCCTGTTCTCACGCCCATTTTTTCTAAACACTTCACAACCAAACTTCTTGTCAACGCCTTTGTTCCTACGTCCGAGGGGTTTTCGGTTCCTTTGATTGCTTTCACTTTCAGGCCTCGTCCGGTGAGTTGTTGAACCCACAACAATCCGGCATCAACGTGCCTCGTTCTTCCAAATCCTTTCTTCATGAGGATTGCTCGGGCGCTACTTGAATCCATGTGGATCCTCATTTCCGGCTTGATCTTCAGAACTCTTTCCAGCAAATTCTGGAGAAAAACTCCTTCACTCAAACCTCCAACGGCTGCAACCAATTCGCTTTCGCAGCTGCTCAAGGCTGTCGCTTTTTGCTTTCTTGCATGAAAATGGACCAAATTTCCATTCACAAAGATCAATGCACAACTCGTTGATTGTCGCGTCTCTCTATCAGTCGCCCAATCGGCGTCGGTCACAACCTCGATCAAACTCTTCGCGGTAAACACGTCTCCGCTTTTCTCGTCGAAACGCATTTCTTCTTCGATTTCATTTCTCTCCAGGAAACTCTTCCCAGGGTGCGACTCCATGTGTTCGATCACATAGTGTGACGTAGCTTTCACATACTTTGCCACATGCCTCAACACTGCGAGGTCACCTCTTGTCGGTGTCGCCAACTTTCCAGACAGCCACTTCGTCGCAAACCCTAGGTCGGGTCGCTCGGGGGTCATGTACAACAGGATCCCCACACAAGACCTATACAGATGGTGCTCTTCCGCGTTCAGCGGGGTCTCATCTTTCATCGATCTCCCATAGTCTGTTGGAAACGGGAGTTTCTTTGGATGTGCTTTTCCGAGCCCTAAAAGCTCTTCCAATCTCTCCAGATACTTTCCGTCCATCCGGATCTCAATTCCTCCGGGTATCCCGAGGAAAGTTCGCTTCAAGAAGGTACACTTGCCTTCTCCAACTTTTACTGGTCCTTCCAGCTTGATTTTCAACTTGTGTTTCAGCAGCAGTGAAACCACTGCATTGTTCTCTTCGGGCTTTCCGAACACTTCCAGATCATCCACATGTGCGCTCATCAAAGTTCCTCCTTCACTTCCGCTCGGTAACTTGTAGAAGAAACTGGGTAACCCGATATCCGAAGTCATTTTCTCTTCTTCCAAGATCTTCCTCAGATGCTCGAACCAGTCACTGCTTCCGGTTCGCTGACCGGGTAAGGTAAACTCCAGCTTGTACCATTTTCCTCCCAGGCTAACCACTGTG